AAATAAATAATTAAAGCTAATCCACGCAAAAGGCTGTAGCATGCTGTAGACGCTTGTGGTTGCAACTGCAAACTCCCGAATGCTTCCAAACTTTTCTCCATACAGAGATACTATCGTGAAACTGATAAGTTATTTCAGGCTCTGGGGAACTTTTCACAGAATGACAGTACGGAGACGACAATAGTCAACAATCACACAAAAGCTATTGGCAGTTCATCTTCTTCCGAATCCAGTAAAGAGGAAATTGAAGTGGAGTTGACGACAGATGCTGCGTACTCGGACGACACTACCGAGGACGACGCTGATGATGATTGCCGAGATTTCCCATGGAAACATTTCAGGTACGGTAGCGATTGGTTGTGCCATGGGCGTGGTGCTAGCACTCGTTGCGGTCAGGAGTCTGATCCGAGACTGAACCCCAACAATTAAACTTCGTAATCGGAAACAGCGATGATCAATGTAGTTCTAGTACTCAAATATTTCAGGTTACCCCGAGACGTTGTGCCGACCTCTTACAATCTGACCATCCATCCGAACATCACGACGAACAACATGACAGGAAGTTTAGCGATCGATATCCAGGTTATTGATTGAACTCCATTTTACTATTTGAATAGACGATGACCGCTGTTAAGAAAAGGGGTCTCTCAGAAGGAGAAAACTTATGGTTAGAAGAAGGTTTAATAGATGAAAAGCTTTGCACAGCGCTGACATGACATTGCCACTCTAATCTGAAAACGTCTGTAATACTGTAGTGATTATTCAGGCACTGAACACGACCAAACTGATAGTACTACATGCTGACAACCTTATTCTGACCACATTCAGCATGAGTGTCAATGCGAAACGAATGGAAGCGGAATTTGTAAGTGTGAAAAAAGTTGAATGGGAATTAAAAAATTACGGTGCTACACAAGTACAATCTGTATCATTGTGTCATGTGGAGGCTTTCCTGCGCACGTACATTTGGCGCGATGCCAGCTGGTTTCCACCATCGTTGCCACAATAGGTGGGAGGCGAGAGGGGGTGGGGCGGGGGAAGGGGAGGCAGCCTATGATGGAAATGGATGGAAATACCATAGGTGGTTACCTACATTCTTTGCGTCGCCACATCGCATATCTCTGGGCCATACTCAGTAGGTCTATTCGGTTGGATGTGCGCTATCTTCATTACTATGAGAGTTTGTACCTCGTGCAAAAGTACGATTAATAAAGTTCTGATGCCCTAACCAGAATTTACACCAATAAAAGAACATTTACAGTTTTTCTGTCCGGATTCGTCCCAGTGGGCATTTGTGATGGACGACGAGGTGCATGCTGGTGATGTGATCGACTTGGGCATTGAATTCCAGGGAGAGGTACTACCGGATCTACAAGGGCTCTACATATCTACGCATGCAGATGCACGAGGAAAAAAGACGTAAGTAAAGCGTTTGTGAATTGAAAGTCGTGAGATGGCGAATCATCTGTGTCGGTTTGGAGTTCTACGAAACGGCGATAAAAGAGAGGTCGCTGATAGAGTTGCGTGCCTACATTCGAACTGAGGCAACGTTCAACGATAACGCGCGTCGGAGCGCTGTAACGTGCTGTAAAGCTCGTAGATGAGCATCATCGCAAGGTCTGAACGCTGCCCGCAAACCAGTTCATTTGATTGGGAAGTGCTACAGTCCTAGGTCCAGTCAACTGGCTAGGGAATAGCAGTCACCACAAGATGAATCACCCACCCGACACCGGAGATGCTATCTTCTCACTTCATTCTCAGACGATATAGGCTCTTATCACCATCTGTGACTCCGTAATAGATTAGCCGATAATTTCTGAG